GCGAAACCCTCGTTTTGTGTTGCTGAGACATGCGCCTAAGGATAAAGTCTTTGCAACCGAAGTGAGCCGAGGAGCCGAGTGACGTGCCACCGCTACTAATTGAGTGCCAGCACGTAGCTGTGCTGTCAGTAAGAAGGTACAAAGGCAATAAGATTAATTGCTTTATCATACGTATTTCCCCCCGCAACATAAAGAAGATGACTGGCTTCCTCATCCTAGAAGATATAGGTAGAATCCTACGTCTCCGTTAGCGGATGTTTTATTTTTTTGTACAAAATTATGTTTAGTTAAATAATCTTATTTTTTAGATTGAAAAAAATAGATTAAAAAAATAATATCATTACTGTTAAATCATATTATTAAAAAATTAATATGTTTATGTAAATCAACCATGAGTTACGAATATGCATATCTATTAATTTGCACAATAGTGTTTTAAAAATAAATAGTTTTTTTTAAAAAAGATTATAGAATATATTTTTATAGTTATGAGAAATAGTGAAAAGAAATAGAAAACAGAAAAAATTAAATAAAAAGTGAAAAAAGACTGTTTGGTTATTTTTACAAAAAAAATTTGGGTCATTTTTATAATTTTCAAAACTATTAGGGTATTTTTTATAATTAAAACTAACGGACTTCCGTTAATTTAAACGAAAATTGGCAAATTGGACAAAATCGGCTAACGGTTGGATAGCTTAGAGTAATATTAGCTAACCGAAAAAGAATAGGGTGAAATTGATAACGCGTGTCAACCTTTGGGTAGATCGGCCAATTTTTCCTCAGTGGAAATATTAAATCTAACAGAATTCTCATTAATTTGGATTAAATTGGCGAAAATTTAAAATTTAGATGATGAATTTGGTTTCCCAAAAATATTTTGGGTCAAATTTGTTGAATTATTTATCCCACATTGGTGTTTGGAGACATTTTGTATCAGTATATATGCACCATAGGCTACTCCCCTCATTGCCAATTGGTTTTGAGGTGGAACCCCATGGGTTTCTATATAGTATCAGAGCGGGCTCGGCCTGTGATGATTTTAAGCCCACGATATTATTCTGTGGCCTAATTTATATCCGCAACGTTATTTCGCGGCCCGTGATATTATTCCACGGTTTATTTCCTGATCCTGGTGATTTAGTCTAAGCCCGTTAGGCTTGAGGGGGAGTGTTGAAGTATTTATCCCACATTGGTGTCTGAAGACACTTTATATCAGTATATAAGCACCATAGGCTACTCCCCTCATTGCCAATTGGTTTTGAGGTGGAACCCCATGGATTTCTATAAAATTGGCAATAAACTTGATTTTTTGGGCAAAAATGATCATTTTCTCAATTAGTTTATGATATTATAGAATGTTATTCACCACATTGTTACATCTTATACCCTCAATTTTGATTGGTTGAAGATAAAACGGGACGGTTCCATAAAAATAACCAACTGAACTCTAGATTTTCCCATATATATATATATATAATCACAAATTCATGGCATGCAAATAAACCGTGAAACTATTAGAATTCCCTGCTCAATATCTGATTTGGGATAATGAAAGCAAACTAAATTAGTTTTTTTTTCTCGGTTACAATGACTTTTATTAATTTTACTGGAATTCAATCAGCTCTGATTAATACAAAAATGTTCCTCTAATAAATACTAAGAACTATTGTTGGGAGAATTTGCTTTAGTTGATTATGAATATTTGTCGGTCGTATTTCATTAACAAAATTATAATCCAATGCAATATTAAACTCCCGAAAAAGTCAATAAATTCTCTAATAAAAATCGAAACATCAATATCCTAATAATAACCTTTTTAATTCTAACCACTAATCACTCCACGCATCACTTCCACCCCACCCCACACGAGGGACCTCAATCGCGACTAAGGAATGAACAGCCAATAAAAACAAAAACTTAGTCCGATGCCTATAAGCAATTTTACAGCCTTAAAATAAAACTGCAAGAGAAGAAGAAAATCGGATTAATATATGAATAGTGATAGGTATATAGAAAATTACAAGGAATGATGTGTCATTTATCAAAACTATATTCTAATCTTAAATATTTAAATTCTAAATAGAAAGTTTTAAAAATGAATGACTATGATTAATTCTTTGTAACTTTTCTTTGTCATTTTTCTTGCACTAATCATTATCCATAATATATATGATTATAAAATCCACAAATTAATGCAACATTTGATACCAGTATAAATTGCCCATTTGATGGAAACCACAACGAACAAGGCCCTATATATAGTTCCTGAAACTTAGGATATGGTCTTGTCTTAAGCTCAAAGCCCAAACTCAAAGAGAACGGCGTATTGGATTACAGTTTCAAATGATAGCTCAATGACATACGAGGAAAATACTGTATAACCATTCCAAACATATACAAAACTGACTTGCTGATGATCTTATAGAAATATCTAATAATTTACATTGTGACTTGTGAGTTTATGAAAGTAGAAAGAGTCACAGTGGAAGCAATAATCTTACCAACTTTTCTAGTATTACCTTATTTAGATGGGTGATAATTCTGCCACAACGATTTCTACCATCCAGTGCATAATTTCTTTTTCTTTTCCACTTTTGTCCCTCTTGAAGTTCACTCCCATATTTTCCTCTTTCTCATATTTATCGCTCAATTAACTCTTCTTTCCTTCATGTTTCTCCGTTTCTCTCATATCACAATTATATCAATTTTCCTCCAAAACAATGAAAAATTTCTCCCTCCAAAAATTAGTGATTAGGATAATATTAGATATTCGAATCAAACAACCGCCCTACTCATCATTGAGAAAAATTTTCTTTATTTTTATTGTACATCTTGGCAAGAAAAAACAAAAAGTTGGAAGTTGGACTGATTTTTATGTCGTTTTATCTAATTCATTATTCAATTTAATCAAGTTTTCTATCTCTTATGCGTTTTGTTTGGGGATTGAAATATATTGATAATATGAAAAATTCGCCTACGGTTAAAGGAGAATATGCAACGGTGCGAGCTGTTCTTTTTAATAGTCATTGTAATAACCGTGACAGTAAGTGTTTTTGGGTGCTTTGTTTATTGGTTAGTTTTTGGGATCAAAATTTTTTTTTTGAGAATAGGTTGAATGTGTCTCAAGTGTTTGATTTATTTCCTACGAGTATTTTGAACACGATCTATTCTCTTTTATTTGGTGGATTTTATGGCCCTCGTGTGCGGTTTTTATTTATTTATTTATTTATTTTTTAGGGGTGGCATGAAGAAGATTTGTGCCCGCTATGATGGATGTGTATGAACAAGAAGAAGCCCGCCCCTGTAACTTCTCCCCTATTAATGGATCCATATCGATTGTTGTTCAAAGCAATAGTAGCTTTTTGCCATACTTTTTTGAATCTCTTGTATAGCTTCTTTGAAGTTTTAGTATACCATAAACTAAAGCAAGTGTCCATCAAAAGTTTTACCGGGTCAATTACATCATTGAGATATCCGAATTCATCATCCAAATTCACTCATCAATTGACAATTGATCGAATTGCCGTAGAGTTTACCTTTTCAAATTCGAGCAAGAATTTCACCATCTCAGTTATGATCTCAAGCTACAGTTTTCAAAAGGTAATCACAAACCATGGAGGAGAAAAACGATGTTTGGTTTGAAGCCGGGGCAGGAGAGAGAATAATTAAAAATTCATAAGCGAGAGATGTGGGAAAGAGGAAAATAAGGGAGTGGACTTCAAGAGGGGTAAAAGTGAAAAAATAAAAAATAAAAATGTACTGGATGTTAGAAATTATTGTGGTAGAATCGCCACCCTCATCTCCAACTATTACATTATAAGTTGCATTAAATTTAATGTAAAAAGAGAATATTTTAAGCATTTTTTCACACTAAATGTCTTTGCAGTACAACTTAATGCACAAAATTTCTAAATATTATATTTTAAATTTTATTTTAATTGTTAAAAATCTTATTGTTTGGTTATAATTTTATTACATTTGTTCTTTCATAATTGCTTTATAATTTGATTGAAGGAGTGCCAATTATTAATTACTATTTTTTCATATGTAATTTTAATAATGTCTAAAATTAATTTTTTTAAAATAAGTAAATATTATAGTCTAGGTCTTATTTTGAAAATCTCAACATTAATATGATGCATTTACAATATTAATTTTATAAGTTTAATCATACAACAAATCATATATTTAGAGTAAAACAAAAAAATATATATAGTACATTTAAAAAAGTGCAGAAAATAGTGCAATTGACAGTTTACACCTAATTTGGTGCAACACTATTCATTGCATCAAAATATATTTGCAATTGACAGTTTACACCTAATTTAGTGCAACACTATTCATTGCATCAAAATATATTTGCAATTCACAGTTTACACCTAATTTAGTGCACCACTATTCATTGCATCATTCATTGCATCGAAATATATTGATTTAGTGTTATGGTGTATGGTTGGAGTTGCTCTAAGTAGTTAGTTTAGTTTTTTGATATCTGTCTTTTTGCATCGAAATATATTGATTTAGTGTTATGGTGTATGGTTGGAGTTGCTCTAAGTAGTTAGTTTAGTTTTTTGATATCTGTCTTTTTCAATGCAAATTTCATCTCTTAAGTCGCAACTGAAACTGATGTCCGTCCAAAATCAACATCCTTTCCACATCCCCATTCAAGCTCATCCACTTCAACAACTCATTTTGTCCAATTGAGATTCTTGATTAAATTTGTAAGAGGGGAGATTAATGTGAGAGATGTAGTGAACCCTAAATTTCAAGATGGTTAAAAAAAGAAAAAAGAAGAAGAATATGAAGATGGACAATAGAGAAGGAATCAAAAGAAAGTAAAGTAACTGAAGGCAAAACATCCTATATATATATTCAAAAGAGGACCCTCTTTTTTGAAGTTAAAAGGGTTGACAAAGCTGATCACAAAAGTACTACTACTGCTGTTTGATACTACCAAATTAATTAGCACTAATTCTATACATAAACTAAGTACTAAATATTCTACATTTTTGCAGCTGCCTGGAATTAAAAATGGACCAGCTTTGCCCTAACTAAAACGACAACGACTTAAAAGGATCTACACTTCCATTCTGTTCTTCAAACATTAGAACCAGAAGATTCAGATGCTTCTCTAATGTGAAACCTCCATTCAAACAGATAATCTTTGGACTCGCAAGCCAACCGAATCACATCGCAATGTGCATTTACCACATTCTTTTTCCCATCTTTCCCCCACTCAATCCTCACCCAACAACCAAAACCGTCGGGATTTGAAGCCGACAACCTCGGCTTCACGTCGCCGGCGAGATCCATCACCACCTCCCCTCCGATCCTCTTGCATGCGCCGGCTCCGCCGCGTGCGGCTGCCGTGAAATCAAGCCACGGGCACTCCGGCTGACCCACCATCTCATTATACGCCGCATTCGTCAGCCTGACTTTGTTGTTCGAGTCGGTTACCACCGCCGGCAGCTCCTCGAACTCCATCTCTTTCTCCACTTCCTCCGGCTTCTTCTTCATCAACTCCACTCGCTTCTCCGGGTTTTTCCCGGTGGTCATCGGATACTCATCGGAGATGACACCGACGGTTATGCTCGAACCCACCGGCCGGACAGCCTGAGGCGAAATCACACCAACTTTTTTAGGACTTTCAAGTTGATGCACGAAATCCACTTCTTGTGGGACATCCGCCGCCGCCGCCCTGTTCAAATCAATCCCGCCGCCAAATAACTCCAACCCAACTGGTTTCTTCACGGCGGCGCAACCACCTCCTCCCCCGCCAGGCATGAGCGGGAGAGAAACGGCGTTTGAAAGCGTCGTAACGGGAGCAGTCTCCAACCCGCATTTCAAGGGTAAGAGATTCGGAAAGAAAGAGAGAGAAGGCAGAGCCGTTGGGTCATGAACAAAACCCAAAGTTTGGGCCGCAGCCGTTAGTCCCTGAGCCGGAGCCGGAGGAGGAGGAGGAGGAAAGAGGCCTTGAAGACAAGTCCTGGTTCGTTTAACAGTGGGCGGAGGCCCAAGAGCAGTCCGGCCTCGCTTTCTCGTCCTGGTGGGCCTAGCCTGCAAATTGTTCCAAACGTTCATCAAATAAGCCGATTTCCTGATCCCTTGTGGAATGGAAGAGGACGAAGAAGAAGAACCACCGGAATCATCATTTGGGCTGGCTGGATTTTCAGGCTTTGGTGCAATAGGCCGATATCTAGCCATGATCTCAGCTGTCTTTGCTGTATTATAAGGGTTCAATGTTTGCATCATTTTTTCCTTCTTTTTTACTTAACCAAAACTAGCCTAGGAACAAGAAGGAGAAGAGATTTTATTTGATGGGGGGTGAAAAAGGGTTGGATGAGGAGTGGAGTACCTGAAAATGGATACTATGAATAAGATTTTATATATACATAAATGGGAGCTGGAAATGAGGAGAAGGAAGAACCAATGAGAAAAGGGCAGCATTAAGTGAAGAGAAGACACTTGGAAGTGTACGGGGGAGTACGTGTTTGAGAAAGAGGACATATGTTGTGTATTCGAGGAGGTGTTTTTATTTTAAACATTACATGCATGCTTTACACTTATCACACTATTAAGGCAGCGAGCAATATGTGTTGTTCTCTTGCTGCATCGGTTACGAATTTTTCAAACTTCAAGAAGGTAGAATTCGGATCGATTTTGTGTTTTGGCAAAGAAGATACATTTTTTTTTCTTCTTTTTTAAAGGGTTTGTCTTTATTAGTGTGTAAAGGGTTGGGTGCTAATTGGTTGCTACCATTTTGTACACATCACTCAACCATGCAAAACAACCAATAGGATTTGCTTAGGTGATTAGAATTCGGCTTGTTTTGTTTTTTTCAGGTGGAGGAGGGAGGAGATTAGGATTCAAGACATTAGCCAATGGCCTTGACAGGGGAAAAGTTAGCTAGCTTTTGAATGTGCTTTTGGACCTGTACTAAATTAACTTGTAAAGTAGTAAATTTACAAAAATGTCATTTGCCATCTTTAAGCATGGGAGACACGTACAGTACTTGTCATAAATTTGTAATTTGTTTGGAGGGGAATGAATCCGATTATTCAAAGAGAACTTAAAAATTCATATGTATTTTCTTCTTTTTTTTTCCCCTTAAATCTATTCCAGTAAATGTAGATAAATTTCTTTTACATACCTTTGGTAAGAATTGAAACTGGATTACATCCTAACTACTAGGCGGTTATTCAATTTCCATTCATATGTATTGTTTTTGTTGTTCTATGACAAATTTATATTACTATATATTTTTTCTTAACAAAATTATTGTTCAGTTTAAATTTCTACTTTTAGTTCAATTTATACTAAAAAAGAAAATCCAAACTGTACAATCATTTCGAAACGAAGAGAATATTGCACTTTCATTGGTCTCAAACGTACTAGTTCGTTAATTTTATCAGTTCATAAAGAGAGTTACTCTCTCCATTTCAAAATGTAAATCACTTTGGACTTTACACGTAAACTAAGGAGACATCATTCAAATAATTAATTTCTGTGTTAATATATGTTTTACCCCTTATTAATTATATTGAAATTATAAAAAAGACTAAATAAAAATGAATTAACATCATTTACTGAAGGTAAAGTTGAAAAATAGTCATTAATTTGCCTTCAAATGCTAAAACAACTTATATTTTAAAAAACTTTTCTAAGTCTAAAAAAATTTATAATTTGAAAAGGAGGGAATATAAAGTGACTAGTTCATAAAGTTGTAAGGTAACGCAATTCTTAGTTTTTTATTTTCCCATAAGATCATCAATTTCTTTTACCTCATCTTTGACCGCCTGTCTTATTGAAGATAGCAAAACCAAGTTAAGGGAGCATCTTAATATGTAATTGTATGATGTTTATATATATGTGTGTGTTTTAAGAAGAAAAGCTCACTAATTAAGCACAAAAAGGAGAACTTGATAATCGATATGGTTTACTTAATATATAAAAACTAGTAAATCTCTTACATTCCATGAAATTAGCATCCGTGGTACGGTTAATTCTTCACTTTCACCAACGTTTTCTCCTTGGAGAAATTGTCTTGAAGACAAGTACCGGTGAAAACACAAAATTTGACCAACCAGTTATTTGTTCTATGTATCCCAAATGAAAGTGCTTTTAATACAACCATACATGTAAGAAACTAAGAATGACTCAAAAAATTGATAACCATATATTTTACTATGAAAATTTTTTTTTTTATCTAACTCCCATTTGGAGTGTGTAAATTATAAAATAACCTTCTCTTTATTATTTTTTTTTATTTTTATTAGACAAAACATAAGTGACGAGTAAAATGAGGATTAGAAAGTGATGATGAAAAAGTGAAGAAAAGATCAAAATCCAGCTAGAGTGGAGTTGGCTGTTACCAAAATTTTGGCGGTGGAAGGCTCAAACCTCAATAAGTAGAAATTTGATAAAATTGGAGGCACCGAAGAGAATGAGCGTTTTTCACCGTAACGCGTGTTGGGGTTACAGTTGTTTGTTGGAAGCCATGCATTGTTACACCTATTCACTCCCCCATTTCCTCCAACCACAGTCCCAGAACCTCCCTCTCTTTTGTGTCTACTACGTTGTTATCCTTTCGCATTAATAAAATTTATTAAAATAAAATAAAATAAAAACTTTGCCATTTCTCCACGTTTCGAATTGTGTTCATTTTCCGATTGGAAAAGAGGATGGGGCAAAAGGGCAGAGTTTTTTTTTAAAAAAAAAAAAATTGGTTGCGAAATCCTATTGGAAGAAGCCACTTGTTTGTACTGCCGAATGAGAGTTACACGTGGGATGTGACTAAGGAACTCTTGCGAAAACGTGGGTTGATGTCCGTATCCTGGTTAGGTTTGTTTTTTGTTGTGATTTGTGAACCCTCCTGCCTAATGTTTTACCAGCCTATATAATACTCCCTCCGTCCCACAATTATTATTCAGTTTAAGTTTTTCATTTCTAGTTCAAATTATACTAAAAATAAAATCTTAAAGTGGATAATAATTTTGAGACAGAGGGAGTATTACTGCTAACATTTACTTATTATATTTTGTGGTTAGGACAGGCATTGTGACACACCACTGCCTTTACACTTGAGGCTGGTTTGATTTCTGTCGTTGATCAAGAAAGGAGTTAACAACGCCAAGCTCATTTTAGAATGTGAATCAACTTTATAGTCCACAGGAAATTTTCTCGTCACATAGGATCAATTGAGCTAGTATCTTAATAAAGAGATCGTAAACTTATATCTCACCACATATGTATTGTTGATTTATAAGAACAATTTCCCACACAAAAGTTCGATTGACTTTGTGGACAAATGCTAAATATAAAACTTTACTGAAATGGAGTTGATCATACAATCTCACTCATACAATGGCTAGTTTTCTTAGAATTAAAACAAACTCGTTAGGTTTTATGTTTTTTTAAAATAAGGAGGTTAAGGTCTAAAATACTAAATTATGTTAAGGTCTAAAATACTAAATTATCATACTTCATAGAATAATAATAAACTATGTTACTTGGACGCAGACATGAGTATCGTATCGGGTGTAGGGATATGGATGTCGAACTCGTCAATATTCTAAAAAATTTTGGACATTTTAGGCTAAAATACCACACAGTATCGTGTCGTGTCAACACGAGTATTCTCCCCAAATTGAAGAGTCCGGATATATGTCAATTTACTATTGACATTGGGTAGTTACGTACCATTTTTTACCAATCCAATCCTTACACAAAAAATTTTTGATGTCTTGAAAGATCTTGTCTTTATAAATTTCCAGATTTTCAATATCCATAGTTTAAATAACGCAGCAATCTTTAAGCAATAATAATGAAATTTAGGTTTTATTTTATTTTTTCTGACAAATCTTCTGAAATGTAAAATTGGTGGAGTTCCTGTCTTCCTGACCCCATAGCCCTCAGCGAAATGGGCTGGGTTAAGCCCATAAAAATACATTTCCACAATCTGGAAAAACAGGAGAATAACTAGAGGGCTAGTTGCCTCTCGTTCATGTGTGTCGTCGGCGGATCGGGCATTGTTAAGTTAGCCCACAATCGTAAATTTGAGTAAACATTTTGAAATTTTAACCCCTTTTCTGTTTTGATTTTATTTTATTTTATTTTATTTTGTTTTTAAAATTGCTAATCATCACAAATAATCCTAACTCCTCGTACATATAGATTGCCAAAGGCACAAAATATCTACAAGTGTAGATGCTATTCGATCCCCTTTTGCCATTTTTTTTTTAAAAATAAATTTTTATTGCAAACCACTCATATAAATTGTTTAAATTTTTTTTTATTATAAAACGATTTCTTACAATCAAATTACACCACCTTTTTTTTAAATCACTGATCACTAAATTAGTTTACTGACTTCCTAATGGTCGAACAATGGATTATCACAAAATACAATACTTAAGATAAAACCTTATTCACTCCTCTCTAACATAGTACCAAGTATAACATTAAAATGTTGACGATGAAAGAGCATAGTACTTGATACTACATGGAAACGTTGTTGCAAAATTTGTCCAGTTGATTTGATTCAACATCTTTGTGGTTATTTTTATTTTAATTTTTGAAATTAGGAAAAAATGATAAGTTGTTGACTTGACCCAACTAATTTCTGTTGCGTAAATAGCTTATAGAAAATGGTAAAAGAAGAGAATATCACGAAAATCAGATGAACTCCTTTCCCTCAAAAACTATGTTTTTGAAACCGGACCGGAGAGTGAACCGTTAACATGATTAGGTTGGTGAGTTAATCGAGTTGACTGGTTAGTTCGTTTTTTGAAATCGGTGAAAATTTATTAAAATAATATTAAAAATTAATTTTTTTAAAAATATTTATGAAAATCCGATTCAACGGGTACCGGTTTTCGGTCAAACCGTGATTTTGTTCGGGTTTGACCGGATATTTAAAAATCCAGTTCATTTTAGAATAAGATATCCGGTTTTTGGGACAACCGGTTCGACCTTCCGGTCCGGTCCGGTTTTGAAAACATAGCTCAAAAGAAACAAAGAAAAAAGACAAAAACAAAGGCAAAATTCAGATGCCAATTGGGACGGTTAAATGCAAGAGGTAGTACGCGAGTACTGAATAGTCCTACTTTGGACTCACCCCTGACAAAAGCTTTTTCACAAGCGTTTCAGGCTTTCAGCCCTTTTTTTTCCCCTACCCTTTATTTCTCCGTCTCTCCAGAGAGCGGTGGTGGGGCTCATGAAAATATCGTCAATAAGGTAAGTTTTCAGCGATTCATTACTTCTCCGTCAGCCATTTCTGAATTGGGTTTTGCTTCAAATAGATTTCTCTTCAATGCTATGGGGGGGTTGGTTGAGTGTCAGCGCAGCTTTAATTTGAATGCGTTCACCTGTTTGCGTTAATCCCTCTATGAGAATTCTTTATGGCCTTTCTTTCCCTGATGATGATGATATGATTGTTTGAGAAGAATTTTCCAATGGAATCGAGCGAAGAAGAAGATAGCATAGAAAATCACCCATCATTGCCCCCTAATTATCTTTCCCTAGCCCAGCTCCGAGACCAATGGCTTCAGAAGCAGAAGAAGAAGCAAATAGATGAAGAGGCAAAGCAAAATCAAGAGCAGGAGAAGGAGAGGGAGAAGCAGAAACAACCAGAACGACAAGGAAAACTGGTGGCGGCGTCACAGCGTCTGCGACAGGAAAAGGGGAAGAAGAAAGTGGTCGAAGAAGAACCGGGCAGGGGAAGGAATGCGTGGAAAAGAGTAGAGGGTTCCCAGAAGTTCTATGTGTCTCAGCGTGCATTGGGTGCAAATACTACAGAAATCGGCGGGGATGAGAGACAGTTGAAATCTGAAGAGTGCACAAAGCAAGGTTCTACCCATCAAGGAGTTGCCGGAGTTGGTGGGCAGGAAGAAACAATTGCCGGTGAGAGGAAGAAGAAAAAGAAGAAGAGGAAGAATTGGGGCAAAAGGGGGAATCGGGCTAATGGGAACCCAGTTGGAGCTCTGGAAAGCCCGGAAAATTTGGAAGATTCTAATTGCATAGATGACGGGGAAGACAAACGTAAGGGAGGATTAGGTAGAAATGCTACTGGGAATAGAGAGGTTGAGGGGAAGATTAATGTGTCTATGAATGGGGTTGTGCCGGACTATAAAGGAGAGCTAGTGAACTTATTCTCTGCGGGTGGAAAATGTGGGCATGATGAGGAGTTTAAGGTACAAGATTTGGGAAATCAAGATGACCACAGGTTGGTACATACTGTTTTTAGTGTGAGTACAGTGAAGTGGTCGCCAAAGAGTATGGCAGAGGAAAAAGTTCATGTGGCTAGAAATGGGGTTGATCAAGAGATGCTAGAAGCAGGAAATGTTGGTATGGCTGCAGTCTCACCAGAACTCAATCGAGAGGATTGTTCAGTAAGTGTTGGAAGAAATAAAAGAGGGGAAGGAAGAGCTAGCTATAGGCACAAGAGGAATGTTCATAATCTGAGGAATACAAGAGACTCCAGTGATAGTAAAATGGAGTTGGGATGCGAGAAAAATGTGGAAGAGGAAAGAGTTTTGGATAAAGAACATGAAAGGAATGGCATGCAGAAGGAGAAGACTGATAGGGCCGCTCAACCAGGTGGTGACAAGACAGTGGTTGAAGATAACCTGACTCCAAAAATTAGAAGGGATTTGAGGTTTCTATCATTAGAGGAAAACAAAGAGGGAAATGCTGCATTGAGGAAGGGACAGCATGGTCGGCCAAAGAGAGGATTTGGGAAGTCAAAAGATGGATTTGGGAATTCTAGAGACTCCACTGACAGTAAAATGGAGTTGGGATGCGAGAAAAATGTGGAAGATGAAAGTGCTTTGGATAAAGAACATGAAAGGAATGCCGTGCAGAAGGAGAGGACTGCTAGGGCAGCTTATCCAAATGATAGCAAGACAATGGTTGAAGATAACCTGACTCCAAAAATTGGAAAGGATTTGAAGTTTCTATCATTGGATGGAAACAAAGAGGGAAATGTTGCATTGAGGAAGGGACAGCATGGTTGGCGAAAGAGAGGATTTGGGAAGTCAAAAGATCCCAAAGGTCTTGTTTGGGTGAAAAAGGGGGAGAATTCAGACAGCAATGCAGCTGCAACTTAAAGACCTAGTAAGTGGTTTTAATTGTAGGTTTAATACACATTGTGGTTAGATGTCTTATGGCATAGTTTTAGGTGTTCTGTGAATTGCTTAAGAATCCTCTGTGGAAACTGCTTGAACTGATTTGGCATAAAAATGTTACAGAAGTTTTACTACTGTTTTGGGTATCACAGGGAAATTCAATAGAGAATTCGCCTGAAATGTAAATTAGACTTGCAAATTATACCTAGATTTGTGGAACCACCAGCGATTACTTGAAGTAGATAGTTCCCGTATTCGAAATGCTATGCTAAACTTTGATGTAGAAAAGATGTTCAAGATTGTTGCCCAAAACTTAGAGCAAGATCGTTTATGTAGTTTTTGGTACCAAAACTACTCTGACTTTACCTAATTAATTTGTGGTTGTGGCATGTATAACTTGTTAAATGGCACTCGAATCTCGATAAGATTGCTATAAACAGCATAGTATCGCTCCAACCTTGCCTTCATTCAGGTGACAGCATAATTACTTTGAAGATGGGAAATGCCGAAATGGTATGAGAAATTTTTAGGTGAAGAAAGTTAATTGTAACTTTTGCTCTATCCTGTTCTAGTGTATGAGAAAGTTATGTCAATTATAGTTCAAGTTGAGCAGTTTTATTAAACTGATTTGTATTGAATCCACTATATTCTGATCAGAAACATGAAAATGCTGTTAGGAAACAAGTATGCAACTTAAAGAAAATGCAGAAGGTTGTTGTCATGTGTTCATATATTTTAGAATATATAACACTTGCTCTTGTTGTGAAGAACACAATTTGATTGTTTTTTCCCTTTAAACAAATCCAGGTTGGTTCGCTGTTGAAGATTTGCTTAGCACTTTTGAGGATTTCCCAAAGATTGAAATAGAAAAGAAAGAAGTTGAAAGACCAAAAAAGAAGCGGAGAAGTGTCCTGTAAATTCTTCGACAAAATGTTGTATTTAGGCTCATTCAGGAAACAGTATTTGTAGATCGGTTCATATGTTTGAAGAAATCATCACCTCCTGGTTATTGGGTAATTGATTCTAAGGTGGAGTTTCTTAAAATATGTTTGTTTCCTTCATTAAACCTTAACTGCATAGGAAAGATATTTGAACCAGTGGGTTCTAATAAACTAGTTTAATGAGAGAACGATTGGGTTAAAAGGATAGGAAAACGCAATACTTAATACTACCTCTGTCCAAAAAAAAATAGTCTATATTGAGTTTTTAAATTTGTACTAAAAATATTACAAAACTTAAAACTCAATATGAACTATTGTTGTGGGACGGAGGGAGTATTGAAATGACACTTTTATAGATAAAGAATACGAAGTTTTATTAGCGGGTGATACAGATTCGACCTAAAAAATAAAGCCCTTTAGGGTGTTAGATTACTCCAATAACGAATCTTTCCCCAGAGGTTTCAAATTCAAAATCGAACGAAAATCATAAATTGGCCCATAATTACTTCTGATGATCATTGAAAATAAATGAAACAATCTTAACTGTCATCTTGGCTGATCATGTTGTATACAAAGATACAATTTTAAACATCTGCAGTAAGATAAAAGAATTCAGTTTCAATATCTTGGTAAATCACATTTTAGTATCATGCAAATTATTGTGGGAGAGAGAGTTCAGTGTAACGGTCTAAATCTTGAATGGCCTAATTAAACATACAAAACTGGTGATAATACAAACTTTTTGATCAATAACCACATCACAAATTCTGCTGAAGAAAGACCACCATTTCTCAAAACCTTTTATCAGCAAGGAGCTCTGACTACACATACTCATGGATCAACTACCAAATGTTCAATATTGTCTCAACAGTCCTCCTCCATGGCGTTCGTTCTTTCACTTTCATTATGAAAAGATGATTTTGACTTCAAAAAATTTCATCATGAACTTGGTGTCATAATCTGCAAATCAGCATCTGTAGAGGGTTTTTTATGTGTCATTTTTCCGGTCGATTCAAATCGCTGAATATTGTTTATGATCTTGATTATTCATGCAGCTGAAGCAATCTTTTTAGGATTCCAACATTTTATCTTGATTCTGGGCAATACTGTGTTGATTCCTAGCATGATCGTAACTGAAATGGGAGGTGGCAGTGTAAGACTGACAGATTAGTCCACTCTGCTTTTTCTCCGTTTTATCACATTGCTTGCATATTTGCTTCTTTCTTTTTCCCCCAAATAATGTCAGAATGTTTGAATTGCAGGTTGAAAAGGCTAAGGTTATACAGTGTTTGATGTTTGCCTCAGGAGTGAACACATTACTGCAATCGCTGTTCGGCACCAGATTGTCATCAGTAGTTGGCGGCTCATACGCGTACTTGATTCCCGCCATGTCTATCATTGAAGTTAGAGGAAACGAAATGTTGGATGTTGATCCTCAAGAGGTATAAATCATTTTTGTTAGAAAACCATTACGACTGTTAGTTTGAATAGTCACGAATAACTCTGGTTTCGTGTTTTTCAGAGGTTTTTAGTGACAATGAGAGGTATACAAGGTGCTGTGATCATTGGTTCATCTTTTCAAATGATCATTGGTTTTCTAGGTGTATGGAGAAACATTGTCAGGTCTGCTTATTTGATGAACATTCTTTTGCTTATTTTGTGAAGTTGACATCCCAGATTTACCACCCTTTTTTTTTTTTCTATAAACTTTCTTTTTTGGTGTAGGTTTCTCAGTCCTCTTTCCATGGTTCCACTTGTTACCTTCACTGGACTTGGCCTGTATTATCTCGGCTTTCCGATTGTAAGATATCGAATCCATAATCTTACTTTGGTAGCATTGTCTGAAGTTATTAAAGTCTTTCTATGAACTATATAAGATTCAGAATACCAACTAATTTAAATTGAAGGGTGTATAGCTAACATTTTTCCTAGTATGTTGAAAAACTTAGCTTAATTGTTGCTCGAAGCTCGTCGACTTATTTCGCCGACTTCGTAAACTAGACGAAAAAGTCGATTACTTTCAATGGGCAACTAGTAGAATTGCTTTCCAATGAGCATTTTCCGGCCAGAAATGTTTTTGAACTTATTCGCGAGAGTCGTTCCTCATTGTATTATTGTTAAATTCGTCCAGTAGTCATCCCATTTGGTCATTCCAGTGGGAAGACATACTCGATTGAAGTTCACCAGCCAACTTTGTCTTGAGTACTTGTTTCACCACTTTTGAACATTTTCTACAATAAAGATATAAAACACATTATGGCTTAAAAGTGTAACTTTGTCATAACACTTCCATATCAAAAACCTTTCTAATTAGTGAGAAAAACTTTATGACAGTTTGACTCACATCATTCTCCTCTCTTGTAGATCGCGAAATGTGCTGAAATTGGGATCCCAACATTGATTTTCATGCTTATTTTCACACAGGCAAGAAGTTAATGCTTTGGATTATTTATTTTGGTACCTGCCAGTTCCCCGCAGAAGTTTTAGTTTTTGCTATGAACTATATAAACATTACTGGCCTGATGTACTTTCTTGCAGTATCTTCCAGCATATATGAAGTTCAAAAAGCCCATATGCGACCGATTTGCAGTTCTGATTTCAGTTGCAATTGCATGGCTTTATGCGGAAATACTTACATGGAGTGGTGCTTATCGTAAATCAAAGCGTTACAGTTGCCAAACTGATCCCTCCGGCCTTATTGGAGCATCTGCTTGGTAAGCATGTTAGCTAAGTGTCGTCTTTTTCAAAGAATATGAATCAGTAGTATAATGCAAGAAGAAATCATGGCGCTTAAGCAGCTAGTTTCTTCAATAAGTAATGTCCAGAATTTTGATCCTTTTTTTGGTTAATCTCGCAGGGTCAACTTTCCTTTTCCATTACAGTGGGGTGCTCCCAGTTTCAGGGCTGGAGAAGCATTCGCAATGTTAATTGCCGCTGTTGTGGCTACTGTCGAGGTATTGTTTACCGTACTTCGTATCGCATCTTTTTAATGATTCTGTATTAGGCTATTGTTGATTGAAGTTCTGCATCAAATGTGCTATTTCAATTCTGCCAATGTTGTAGTCCACTGGAGCTTTTCTTGCAACAGCAAGATATGCAAGTGCAACACCAGTACCACCATCGGTCATCAGCCGCGGCATTGGCTGGCTAGTAAGATTCAATTTCCTCCCATTTTCATCTCAAGTAGATGCACTTTTTCCTCTGAGATGCTGTGAGAAATTGAAGTACATTTTCTACTTTATTTTAGGGAGTTGGGACTTTGCTGAATGGCCTTTTCGGTTGCCTGACTGGCTCTACTGCATCAGTGTAACAATAAACTTTAGCTACTAGCTAGGAATGCTTTTGCATTATAATTTCTTTGAAATGTCAGTTAAATATACTTTCTTATTCTTCACATTCTATGATTCTGTTAGGGAAAACGCCGGCCTGTTGGGAGTGACTAAAGTTGGAAGTAGAAGAGTTGTTCAAGTATCATCTTTTTTTATGATAACCTTCTCCATTCTAGGTATGTAAAGTTCCTTCATCTTGTTCCATTGGCTTACTTTGTTTGCTGACTTATTTTAATGCTATGATCAGGGAAGGTGGGAGCAATTTTCGCATCAATACCTTTGCCAATCATGGTGGCCTTATACTGTTTCTTCTTCGGCTATGTTGGTGAGTGTGTAAAACTCCTAAACTGCAAATATATTTCATCATATTGCTTTCTTGGTAAAAGAAAATGTAATGAATCATATTTGCATAACTGAATTTGGATTTCAGCTTCAGGAGGCTTGGGATTTCTTCAATCCTGTAATCTAAACAGCTTCAGGACAAAATTTATATTAGGATTTTCGCTCTTCATGGGACTTAGTCTGCCACAATACTTCAGAGAGTATCAGCTCTCTACTGGAACTGGTCCTGTTCATACTAAAGCACTCTGGGTATTGTCACCAAATCAAACCATCTCATAATGCACTTTTGCGATAACTTTCAACATTTTGCTAACGCTTCTAATAATGCATACTCTTCTCAACACCTTGCAGTTCAATGACATTGTTTCTGTGACAATGTCATCACATGCTACCATCGCTGCTGCGATCGCTTTCATCTTGGATCGTACTCTTCCTCACCCCAACAAGGAAGAAAACGGATCGCATTTGTGGCAGAGATTTGTTTTTTATGATAATGATGTCCGAAGTGATGAGTTTTATAAGCTGCCATTCAAACTGAACAGATTTTTCCCTCCTTTATGAACTGTGATCTGATCCATCGTCACTGCGATCCTGACCTAATCAGGCAAATCGCGGCTGAAACGAAGTAAGGAGGTAGTACTGTTTGGCATTGTAACTTAGATAAACCATTCAACAAGTAGCAATTTTTACACTTCATCAGCCAGTGCGATATCAAAACAAACATTGTCGCTTTTTTTTTTTTTTTTTGGTGTGTGGGATATTCCATCAGGTGTCCGAAGCCACTAGCCCGACATTTGGTACCAAAACATCTATATTGGTAAATATTCAAACTTAAAAATTCTATGATCTTGTGGTTCATTTACGCAGAGAACTAAAAGGCAAAGAAATATCATTATCAGATTTATTTAGTGTCCCTTTAAACTTGTCATTTTGCACTACTTGTTTCTGACTCAATCAGCTTGTGGAAATGACCAATTTTTTTTCTAAGTTTCTTAACTAATTCATCGAGGTAATGTTCAAAATCTTGACGGGGCATTTGGCAACGAAACAAAAACAGTAAAACGGGGCATGTGCAACTGAGATAAGAGTCGAACCAGCTGACTCAATGGGGTACCCTACTGTACAAGGGAATTTAATGGGCCATTCTATTGCATATTTTGCTTAAAGAGTAAAGTGGTTTTAGTAACATGCATAGTTTTTTTAGTAAACTACGCTAAGTGTTTTGGACTCTCTTATGTTCTGCATTTTGTTTCTCCAAATGTGAGTTTAGGGAATTCGCGGCACACAGAATTCCCATGGCAGTATGTGGCTAAAATGAGCATAAGTAGCTAGCTACTACATTATAATTGAGGTTTGATAAGAGACACTAATCTCTAAGAAGAAAACCATAAAACTGTTCGGAGGCTTCTGATGTTGCCTAGCCTTAACCTGTTTCTGATGTGAACGGTGGATTATTGACCACCACTTGTTTAGACTTAAGTAACTGTATCGCTACGATCTATTACTACTGTCCCAAAATAATATTTATCCTGTTTATTTATGACGGGATATAGTTTTGGAGATCAGTTCTTTAAGGCTTGTACACTGCTAAAATCCACGACTATAAACTATAAACTCTTTCATGTCGAAAATTGCACCAGCCTTCCAAGTTTATTCCATTTGGGAAGGAATCTTTAGGTCTTTGTGATGTTAATAGATTAAATAATGCGAAGATACATAATGGAGGGCTTAAGGCAATATGAATATTACAACAGTAATTTGGCAAGACATAGATTTAATCTAACAAATTAGACCATTCAAGTAATGTTACACGAATTATCAAACACGTGTAAATCTTATTTCGTGATAAATCAACTGATAAATATCTATGTTTTCAAAATCGGACTGGAAGGTGAATCGTTAGCGTGACCGAATTGGTGAGTTTATCAGGTTAACGAGTTAGTTCGTTCCTCGAAACCAATGAAAATCGGTTAAAATAATATTAAAAAAATATTTAAAAATTAATTTTTAAGAAATATATGCAAAAACCGATTCAACCAGTACCGATTTTCGGTCAAACCGCGGTTTTGTCCTAGTTTGACCGAGTTTGATCGGGTTATACAGAATCCAGTTTTTTATGAAAACCAGACCGGTGAGGTTTCCGGTTCTCGGGCTAACTGATTAGACCGCCCGGGCCGGGCCGGTTTTGGAAACACAGATAAATACTATGAAATGTGATTCTTTGAAGTATTTAGACTCACAGTTACAAAATATGGCACTTATAGAAGTTAGAAGTGTCCCTATCACCACCTTCCTTCTCATCCCCACCAAAACAAGATGACAAGCCAACTGGCAATTTGATTCTCTAGAAAATCAGATACAAATAAAAGAGGCAAAAAGATAGAGTGTAGGACAAAAATAGTTTTAAGATTTGAATACATAATTTTGTTAGCAATTCTCTCTTATTCAGTGTAAAAAACCTGCCCTCTTTTCCAACTTGTATATATATAAGCTGAGCTAACAAGAAAAGAGCAGGCTGACTCACACAGTCACCCACTCATTGAATTATTTTTCTCAGTTCCTTCATAAATTAGCAGCCCACGTTGAAGAATCTACTGTTAGAATGAACGCATCAACTTCTGAATACAGTGGTGAATGTGAATCCGGATGGACGGCGTACTTGGATCAAATTTCAAGTTCTTCTGAGGAAGATCAATGCAACAGAAACATCCCTGTAACTGTTGCAGATTCTCGTAGGAAAGGAGTTTATGTGAATCGGGATGAAGATGATGAACAGGACGAGGATTCATCTATGTTGTCTGATGCTTCCTCCGGGCCTCCACATTTCCATAATCAGGATGAAGATTATTGCGAAGAAACGAGATACAATTCCAGCATTTCAGCTTCAGGGCAAAAAAAACAGGGCAAGAACAGAGACAGGGCTTATAAAGATCGCAGGAGTATTTCACAGAATCATGCTCATCTAGATGATACTGCTAGCTCCCCTGTTCGGAGTATTTCCATGGCAAGTGATAAATCAACCCAAAAAAAGAAAATTTTAATTTGCTTACCTTACGATTGTAATTTGCCATTTCCTTTTTTTTCCTCATGAGTTTCATGATTCAGAACAATGCAGTTCCAAGAAAACATAAATTGTTGATGGAGAAAGAAGCAGGCTTCTCCCAAGGCCTTTCTGCAACAAATTCCAAGGTACCTTCATATCTGGCTTTTATAAAATGTGCAAATTTTTGGTTTGGGATTCCATTGTTTTTCTTCTTATGTTTCAAAATTGTCATTTGCCTTTTCTTCAGGGGAAATCTGGATTGAAGAAGCATCTTGGATTTTTGAAGTCTTCCCACCATCAAAAAAGCTGATTTTTTTTTAAAAAAAGAAAAATCCGATGATCAAATAAAGCTCTGAAATTTGAGATCCCTATTCCAATGTGTGTGTATGTGCAAACAAACAGGAAGCTTCATTACAATTTTTACAGGGGAAGAACAAAAGGAAGAGGGAAACAAGAGAGAAGAATGATCAAAAAGTGTGTGCTCTGTTTTATGCAACAACAATTAGGTAGAAAGCGTCAGCACATGTGTAAACTGTAAAGAAGGAAGAGACACAGGATATCTGAAGAAGATCTTGTAATTTTTAATTTTTTTTAATTTTTTTTTTTTTCACTTTGTTTGCTTAATTTACTATTACTTCTTTATGTTATTTTTCTTCTGTCCATGAAGTGGGAAACAACCTAAGAACGCAAATGTCAATACACAGTTCCTCCTTTTTTAATAGTATAAAATATGTGTATATCTTCATGATTTTTATCTTTTTGTTTGTGCATCTAAATATCACATTCACATTCACATTCAGAGCCACCTAAAATTTATAGTCCAGCTGAGCAGAATCATAAGATCGATGAATCTTGGCTAAAGATCTCAAATTATTAATTCAATTTCACGATAAGAGTCTCACGTAAAAAATAACAACGATAAACACAGATCATTTAGGCTTTGTTTGTTAAGTTTTTTTTTTTATGGTATTTTTAAAATATTTAAATAATAACTGTCTCATCCAGCATACCTTTTTACATTTTTAATACAGTTTTTTACATTTTCAATACAAAAAATACCTAAAAACACATACTGAAAAACGAAACAAACATACCCTTAATTACGTGACTTGATTTTAACATAACGAATGTATAGAATCTAAACGATTGGCCTACTTAAAAATTTCTAAGAACCACTAATAAGTTTCTGTAACAGTTGACAGTGAAATGTATGACCTTGGAAGAGATGAAAAATAAGGGGGAAATAACGTTATCCAGTAATTCTAATTCACAAGAAAAGGGAATTTGTCTACATTTTAAGGGTGGGGTTCAGTTTAGAAATTAATTGTTTTGAAAAGCAAACCAAACCCGTAATTGGAAGAATACTCGCAAAACTACAGGGAAAAGAGGAAGGGGGCCATTGATGAAACGGGACAGCAAAGCCTAAAAGCTAAAGAAATGACCCGTCTTTGGAAAGGATTGCCAGCCTATACACAAAAAACTCAATGAGGTTGATTGGTGTTATTGGACTGATTTTGGTAAAAGGGTGTTCTCTAAACTCAAAGAAGACAACAAAATAATCAACAAACCCTTTGAATAGTTTTTTTGATTTTGATCAAATTTTGAACCAATTGAAAGTTTGAAACCTCGCTTTCCACCAGTAAAACAGGGGACCAAGAACCTTAAAAGAAAGTATGATCCATATGAACGTGTTAACCATCCTGCGGAATTGACCACAATAAGCTTTGGAGTTGGGAGGACAAAAGAAATTGGCAACTATGATGAAGAAAAAGACAAGTCCTCTCCAGCTATGTATGTGTACTATAGGGATATTATCATAACCAGACGAAATTCCTTTCTTCAGAGAAAATCAGAGAATCTCTCTTGTAAAAATTCCTTTTTTATGGTGACCCAAAAAGAGGGCACCATTCAAGATGTAATGGTAGGAATCTAAGAGACAGTCAAAATCAAAATGTGTACATTTTGACCACCGGAAAAGGAGGGGCACACTTCAAGAATTTCATCATGTTTGGAGTGATAGGATAGCGTAAATTTTATCGTGTTATCAGGTGTCCGGCGACTTTAACGTCAAATTTATTGAGGGAGATGGAAACATAAATAAAATTTCTAAAAATTTTGACTTGCTTAACTTATTAACTGTTTTGTACGATATAAGTTCCTAATATGAACTTGAACCAACCAATTTGTAACAAATCAAACCCGCCTTTTCAAAATTGGGACTAATCTAGTGTCCACATTCAACTAATAATTTGTTCAACTAATGGATTAACTAAGAAAAGCAGGCGCAAAGAAAGAGATCGAGGAGGGGGAATGCAGGTGCATTATTAGTGTTGTTGTTGGATAAAGGGCCGACTCCACAGAGTGAATTACAATACTTAAGCAACCTATAAAAGACCCTAAACAAAGACCCGAGTGAGGAATTTTTTTGCTTAATAAAAAAAATGCGCTAGCAGTCGAATAATGACGCAGAGACTGGTGCAATTAGAGATAAGATTGAAGATTATTAGTATAGTTTTCGAAATAAGTACAGTGGCGCACACAGACGCAAGGCACTTTGAGTCTTAAGGAATCCCGGAGTTCCGGGCGGCTAACGTAGAAGATTCCGAAATAGGAAACTTCTGAGTTCTGACTTGCAGCCGCAACTTTGGTTTCCAATTGCAAACTTAAAAAAAATTAAGAAATGCCATTCTGCATCAATATTCAGTACCACTCCACATCTTACTATATTAGAAACAAAAACCTCCCTTTCAAACACCTCATATGATTGCCACGTGGCATGTAGAAAATACTAAATTGCCCTTTTGTCTAACCATAACTAAATTACTAAATCTACATTTGCACTTTACGTGACACGTTTTTTTTTTTAAATTTTTTCTTTATCTTTCATTCAACTATAGTGGTTTTTTAAATTGAATTGATCAATTAGGTTTTTTGTTACAAAGTGTCAATTTTGTTTTAAGCGTATACCCTTTGGATGAAACTTATTACAAAACTATTAAAAATCTCCAAAACTAAGTATTGATTTGGCACGACCAATGGAGAACATCAATAAATCATCTTACTAATATTTAAATTTATTAGGATGTTTTTATATTTTATCTAACATTTACTTCAACACATATATTCGATTAAGCTATTTATATTTAATAAGTAACACCTTATAAAACATTTCTAAAACATACATGACGAAATACAATTTTTCTTTTTTGCGAAATACAAATATTTCTATGATCACACTTATAAAACATTTCTAAATCCTTCAAACATTTCTAAAATATATCGCTCCAAATATAAAATTTTATTTTTTTCAAATATAAACATTTCTAAGATCTACAGATAGACTGGGCCAGGGTCGCGCATTGCGCGACCAAACATCACTAGTATATATATATATATATTGTAAAATAATTGTCTAGTTTAGATTCTCTATCATTTAAATTAAGAAATAAAAATTCAAACTGAATAATAATTATTTTATTAAGACGAAAATATTTTATTTGTTTAAAAATACTAATGTGCATATAAGTCTTCTACCATTATGCAACAACAAAAGTACTATACTCCTAAAAGATAAAATATCGTTGTGGATGAGTTAAATCATGTAATAGTAATAACTTTATACATCTATATAGGTGATCAAAGAGTCTATGAAGACCTCCAAGATACATATGCTTAATCTTCAAAATCCATCTCCGCACTATTTTTTTTGTTGTTAAAACTCAAAACTATAAAATGCCATATCAACTCAATATCAAGGGGGGAATGAACAAACGGAAGTTTATCAATATGGCTAATATAATGATTTCTATACATCACCACGTTAATCTACATCTTCCAAAACAATATGTATGAGTAGTTCATCCATTTTTTTTAATGTAATTTCTTTTTCGCCGAAAATCAAAAAAGAAAAGTTAATTAAACGATGAAAATGTCTCCAAAAATCATTTGCCGAAGTTAACGTTCTACTTTCATCAGTTTCCTCCATATATGCTTTTTTTGTCAAGTCATATCTCGTTATTAGACGTTTTGTATGTTTTGTAACTTAATGATTGAAAAAGCAATTCAATAATGACTTCACACAGCTCCATCTGTGGAGCAATTAATAAAAGCTTTCTAATATATATCATCTCACTTGGGTCACTTTCCCCGCTTAGCACCAATGTACAGACAACACGTTCTTTTTATTTTTTATTTTTATTTTTTTATACTCGGTTACACTTATGATATTCCAATAAAAATTATTATTTTGTAATTTGAGATTGCAGTATGGAATCACAAAAATAAAGTCATACACAAATTATACTCAAATCTAGTTTTTAAAAAAGATAGTCGACTGTCCACTGGCAGAGAGAACGGAAAAAATGTTAATGCATTATGAATTGATAACTACTTTTACAAAATTATTATATACCAAAAAACCTAATTCTTTCTCGTACTCTACACATCCTTGAACTTCTATGCATCGCGATTTATATGATTTTTTTTTTCAGTTATAATTTTTGTAACAGTCAAAATGCAAAATATGGAACTTCAAATTGATTGAAATGACAGCTCGAGAATAATACCCATAGAAAGCACAAGAAAACAAATGGAATCGAACATTGAATATAGTCCAAGAGTTTGTAAGCTTGAGCAAAACCTTCCTGAGATCTTTGAAGATTTTCAGACATCACTTCCAATAATATCTACTTGTACAAAGATTTAAGGGCCCATTAACCTGAATATATATCAACATAGAAATTTAGAATTAGGCGATGGATTTTTGCAGCCACTTATTTTATTACTTGAAGCCACTAATTTTTAAAAATTTTCATTTTGGCCATATCATGTTGTCTAAAGTAGAGAGAGAAAGAAATGAGTGACTCAGAGGTAAAAAAAAAAAAAAAACTAAAAAATTGGACCGAACCGAGCAATATACGCATTCCGGTTGAACCAAAAACGAACAATATACCCGTTCGAGTTTGAAGAAAAACGTGTATATTGCCAGTCCGAACCGGGTTAAATCGGTTCGGACGGGCAATATACGCATCCCGGTTGAACCAAGGACGCGCAAGAAACGCGTCTGCCTTGCCGCCCGGACGAGCAAGCCATGTGTCCCTTTTGAGGCTTGAACACATTTCTTGCCTGTCCTTAGTTCAACCGAGGTGGGTATATTGCCCGGTTCGAACCAAGCCGGAACGGATATCTTGCCCGTTTTGTTTTTTTTTTTATTTACATTTAATTATGTTTTTTTTTGTCATTATATTATTTATGATTCTTAGTTGATTATTTGTTTAGTAAGTTAGTTTAATTTTTAATTAGATTAGTTTTTTTGAATTAGTTATGTTAACAATTAATTTAGTAACTAGTTAAATTTCATTTTGTTTGGTTTATTTAATTAGGAATTATATTTTTAATTTTATATGCAAATATAAATAACTATAGTAATTTAAGTTTAGTTATAGGGAAATTTAATGTAATATATTTTTTTGATTAGTTAAATATTTGTTTTTTTATAATAATTTTGTTCTATGTAATTGTATGTTTTTAAATTATTTATTAAAATTGTATATATATTATTTGTTTTTTTAATAATTGTAAATTATGTTTAATTTAGTTTATTATGGTGCAATATTATTTTTTTTTGTAATTTTATGTTTAATTTGCAGGATTCTTAGTTGATTATTTGTTTAGTAAGTTAGTTTAGTCTTGAATTAGATTAGTTTTTTGAATTAGTTATGTTAACAATTAATTTAGTAATTAGTTAAAGTTCATTTAGTTTGGTTATTTTAACTATTTAATTAGGAATTATATTTTTAATTTTATATGCGAATATATTTAATTATAGTAATTTAAGTTTAGTTATAGGGAAATTTAATTTAATATATATTTTTGATTAGTTAAATATTTTTTTATAACAATTTTGTTTAATGTAATTGTATGTTTTTTAATTATTTATTAAAATTGCGTATATATTATTTATTTTTTTAAATAATTGTAAATTATGTTTAATTTAGTTTATTATAGTGCAACATTGTTTTTTTTTGTAATTTTATGTTTAATTTACAGGATTCGTTCGAAGATTTTGGTGGCGATGGTGAAGATTACAGTGTAGTGTTTGCTACAGATGAGGAATTTGCAGAAAAGAATGATGCAGCTGATTGGGTGAAAGGCATGGGCTTAGCAAATGGTATGATAATAAATGTAGTTTCTGGCAAGAGAAATAATAGTGTTTTGATGAGATGTTGTAAAGGTGGAAAGGTCAAGGGGTCACTTGAATATGGTGAAAAATATGTCTCAATGGATTCGAAGACACAAATCACTGGCTGTAAATTTAAGGTATATGTGCGCTCAGTTGATGGAAAGTGGCACATTTGTGTGTATCCTGGTGAGTTTGGAATGCATAACCATTCCCTGTTTGACGAAGATCATCCCACGAGGGGCCTTAGCAATAGAGTGAAACAGGTTATACAGGGTATGTCTAAAGATGGGTGCAGACCGTGTCAAATGGCAGCGATTGAGAGGAAATTTCCAGATGAAAAAGTTAACAGACGGCAAATCTACAATTAAAGGAAGAAATTGTGTAGTCAGGGGTTCCCGGTCTTGGGTGACTCGAGTGCCATGGATGTCGCGACGAAGACACTATCAGTGGCGAAGCATCATCGTTACATCATTATGACAGATTGCAATCAGGAGACAGGTGTGCTGACTCATATTTTTTTTTTGCACATCCTGATTCTGTCAATTTATTTTGTACTTATTTCTGGGTCATCGGGATAGACTCTACATACAACACGAACAAGTACAAAATGCCGTTGGTTGAGTTTATTGGGATGACACCGTGCAACCAGAACTTCTTGATTGCATACGCCCTCTTGAGTGACGAGACTGGTGAAAGTTGTTATTGAGCTTTGAGACATTTTAGGGATTCGCTTCCTGGTCATCTGTCTTCGGCTGTTATTGTTACTGATCGGGAACCGGGGTTGATGGTGCCGCTGAGTTGGGTTTTTCCAGATTCATGCCACTTGTTGTGTGTTTGGCATGTTTATGAGAATGTAAAGCGACATCTCAACAAGGAATTGAAGTTTAACGCCAAAGTTGCAAATGGTTTTGTATATGGGTTGTGGAAAGACGTTGTGGAAGCTAAGAATCAAGATAATTACAATAAAGCAGTTGCCGTAATAAACCGTCATTAGAACAATTTTCTGAGAGTTTTTAATTATATCCATAACACATGGTTCGTGGTTGACTACAAATTCGTCAAGGCGTGGACGAATGTTGTGTTTCATATGGGCAACACTACTACAGGTAGGGTGGAGAGCGCGCACAAGCAGTTAAAAACTTGGTTGGAAACATGACTACGTCGCTGGATACACTTTGGGCTAAGGTGCACTTGGAGAAGAGAACCAGTCGCTAAACACCTCATGTTGGACTATACTACCTGTCACTGCATACGGTGAGGCAACATGTCCAGCATATCAGATTGGGGTATGTCACCTTGGTATTTACAAGCATTTCATTCGGATAAATTTGGACGGTGACTTTCCCGTTCCACAGATCGCTAATAAGTGGACTAAGGAACATGATCCTAGCGTTGCTGGTTGGGAATTACCACTTCTTCCTAGAATTTAAGAATGGTATAGGTTGGTCCCCTTCAATCCTCAATGACCCGTGGATGGTAATGATTACATTGATCTTAGTTTTTTAGATTAGATCCATGTTGGTTTGTTTGTTGTGATGATGATAATGGTGTTATCTATTATCTAGTTTGTTTGTTTTTTTATATATTGTGCAATAACATACCACATGGACATAAAAAAGACATACTACAGGGACACCAAATAAGCTAACTAATATATAACACACAATAGTGGCAATTAAAAAAAAAACTAAATACAGTCCAAGAAAAAAAAAACAAATCCAGTCCAATAATATGACAATGATAATGCTCATGGGGCCTTGTAATAACGGACCATCGTATGCTGCAGCTTCTCATCATATTCAGCAGCTAGATCGCGATCAGACACTTTGACCTTTTTAATCAGGTTCGTAGTGATTTTCCTCAATTCATTCATCCACTGAAAAAAAAAAAAGAAACCAAAAAAAGGTTAAACTATATATAATATAGAAATGTATATCTCAAAAAAAATGTAATTAAAAATACAACTTATATAATCCTGACTGCTCCTAGCTGGTGTGGAGTTTGAAGATGGGTCAGTTATCGGCAGCAGAAATGGATGTGAATACTGCCTGTACTATTCAAGGTACCCCTCTTCACACTCTCCTATGATCTCACCGAAATTGAAGCGCCTCAAACCCAAATTAATACACCTTGACTCCGGGAATCTCCTCCAAGTACTGAGTGTGTCAACAGCTGAATGCTCTACAAAGTGATGGGTAGTTCTAGGTCCTGGGAATGCATCATCAGGGGACATGAGCGAACGAGGAATATTTTGTACGTAGCCAATCTGATGTATAACTCTGTCGGCATGTATGGCTCCTGCACGTTCCTATATATTATCCACCCACTGTAGATAGTCCTCGGAACTATTACTTGTTGGCCCGGCCCAAATGACTCCCACTTTACCTGTAAAATATTATTTATAAATATAAATTTAAAAAACATTAAAATACAGTAAAAAAAAATATGTACCTCCAACTCGGTGAACCTGTCGAGACGCTCCCTAACCTGACGAAGATGATCTGGCACAGATGTCGGTCATGTGTTCTGGGCCTGTCATTACCCTTACGGGTAACTCGCCCTCCCTGGGGGCGGAAGCACGGGAAATAATCGTAAATCCAAGCTTGCAGTATGGTCAAATAACCACCTAACTGAGTGCACTTTGCCCTACTAGTCATCCCTAACTGACGGTATAGGAACGCAAGCGTAGCAGATCCTTACAAGTATGAACCCATATTTTCAATCCAGCCATAAGCTCATTTACAAGTGAAACACTGCACCTCCCACCACTTTTGCCCATGAACAATGTCGAGGCTAACAATACCCACAAGAAAGCAGAGGCCTGGGTATTCTCGTCCGCTTTCTGGCATCTCTCAAGGATAAACCAATCAGAGACACCGCCATGACTCCATTTGTAACCATTCGAATCCAGTCCAAGAATTCCTGCTGCATGTCCTCTCAACACATCTATCTCGGGCGCACCTGACACCAACTTTTCCTCAACCCCAATGCCCAAAATATGATAAACATCATGCATCATGATGGTCATCTCCCCGAACGGCAAATGAAATGAGTTTGTGTCTGGCTGCCACCTCTCAACAAATGCACTTACTAAGCCAAGATCAATATCATCATACGATGTATGAAGAAGGTGACCCAATCCAGTCCCCCCAATCTTGCCTTTCACTACATCATCCATATCCCTATACCACAACTTTAACTTATTGAGAATCTTTTCACCTTTAAATATCTTCAGGATGGGTCTATGATATCCATGCCAGAAATGATAAGCAATATGCCAAAGAAAATTAGGAATCACGCTACCATCTTTCGGCCCACCAGGTACTTCATCTGTCACTAGCCATATAGTCGGATCGATTTCATCAGAAACTCTCGACTGGCTGCTGTTGCATGTACCATGAATAAGTAAATCAAATATTATTTACTATATTTTATACACATACACCAATTCAATAAATATAATTGAAAAAATTTAATGAAAAATAATTACAAAAATTAAATATAAATAACTGGTACCTGATAATGTAATAGTGGTAACAGGACGTGTAGATACTCCAGTGGATTCGGGACCTCGGCGAGGGCACACGGGATCAATGAGAGGGGGAGGACGTGTAGATACTCCAGTGGAGACAGGAGCTCCGCGAGGGGCACGAGATCAATGAGGGGGGAGATGCTTGACTACCATGGGAGGGACAAGGGCGACTACTTGTGGATATACCCTGTGGGAATTGAACAACACGAGGGAAAGAGGGACTACAATGTGGACTGCGCCACTGACCACTCATAGGAGAAGGGATAGGGGTAGGGGGAGAGGGTAAACCTCCAGGACGAGGTCGTGGACAACCAAACAGGGGAGGAGGGTAACTACTAACATTGTACATAAGGCGATCTCTGTGATACGCACCCATCCTAACACTGTCCTGCACATCATCCTGATCAAACTCATTCTCCTCATCCTCATCCTCCTCTTCCAGGTCGTCCTCAGAATACTCAGGTACATTAATCGGCTGAATAGATCGAGTCTCAAGCGGTACACTACACATATTTACTTGAGTCATTTTCATTCGCTTCTTTAACTCTTTTTCCTCTCTTTACTTCCGACGACTCATGTCAGATAATGCACACGAATCTTACGCTTACTAGTATCTTCAGTATCACTAATATCACTATCATCATCATCATCAGAATAAACCTATAAACAAAATTTTAGTCGTCATCATCATATTTTCCTAGTCTAAACAAATAATTATACAAATTTCCTAAATCCTAAATAGTTTAATAATTAAGTACACTTTAATTAAACGTACAATTCATATAACAAAGTAATTATATACATAATATAAAACTAATTATCATACAATAATTAACTACACTAATTTACTATTCATTAAAGTAATTCTATACATAATATAAAACTAATTATCATACAATAATTAACTAAACAAATGAATCTATTGTACTTAATTATAAACTAAACTACTTTACAAACTATTTATTAAATTACTATTACTTATAATTAATCCAATAAACTAAACTAATTTACAAAATATTTATATTAATTTATTTAATCATAAACTACATTACAAACAAATTAAATTAACTTCTACTATTAATTAAATTAATCCAATAAACTAAATTAATTTACAAACTATTTAAATCAATTTGTTTACACAATTTAACTAAATAACAAACCAACTTTTTAAAACTAATTACATTAAATATATTAAATTATAACCTAACTACATTAAATTATAAACTAAATTAGTAAATTAAATATATTACACATAACAAAATTAAATTAAATTCAAAATTAGTAATGAATTAAAACTTTAAAAAAATTCAAAATTAAATTAAATTAAAAAAAAATTCTGACCGGACCGATCTTGGACCGAGCTCATCCCGACCCAAATTGGTCGCCGGAACGGCCAAGGAAGCCATCCGGCGGTGCCAACCGGACGCGCAAGCAACGCGTCCCGGTTCAAACCGGAACGAGCATCATGCGCGTTTCGGTTTGAACCGAGACGCGTTGCTTGCGCGTCCGGTCAGCGCCGCCGGACGGCCGCCGGAACAGGCTGGAAAGCTGTCCGGCAGTGCTGACCGAACGCGCAAGCAACGCGTCTCGGTTCAAACCGGAACGAGCATCATGCGCGTTCCAGCTTGAATCGGGACGCGTTCTCTGCGCATCCGGTCAGCCGCCGGACAGCTTCCTTCCCCGTTCCGGCGGCCAGAATTTTTTTTTCATTTTCTTCTAAAAAAATACAATTTTGAAAAAAAAAAAAAAACTTACCTGTGATAAGATCGGCTATTTCCCGCTTGATTTCTTCCGTGTTGCCATCAATTTTGGCTCCAAATAAGCTTCAATTTGGGGTTTGAAAAATTAAAGGGTTATGTTTTCTCTTTTTTTTTTTAGGTAAAAGTTTGAAATGAGAGGGGCAAAATCGAAATAAACAAAAAAATAGTGGCTTCAAATACCAAAGGCAGTGGCTTCAAAAACTAATACCCTAGAATTATATCATATAATAAATAACTTGTGGTTTTAGGAATTAGATTAAACGTGCCGCTCCTTTGTTCTTCTAATATTTAGCCAATAGCTAGATTGACCAATCTCTAATTCGAGTCAGTTTTTAGTTGTAGAGCATGATGAAGCTAGGTATGAGATACATCGTTTTAGTATCGTAATTTGAAACTTGATTCTCTTACATCGCCAGAATAATGCAGTAACTTGAATTATCTAGACGAAAGTCTTTTATTTACTCCGAAAAGAGAGAAAGAATGGAAATAAAAAAAATATAGTTATGGTGAAACATCAATGTTCATGAACTGATTTATTTATAAGAAAAATAATTACACGAAAGTTGCTTTACAAATCGTACTATTTATGCGGAACAAACATGTCGGAAAGGATATATGATCGAAATTTATCATAATGCCGCTACAGAAGAATCACCCGAGTGATTACAGCAGCCACAAGTAAATTTCATATGCCATAATAATTGGAAAAAAAAAATAGAAAAAGAAGAAGAAGAAGAGAAGGAAAAAAAAAAAATTCCATATGCCATAATAATTGGATGTACTAGAATCCTTAATTTGAGACCCCATTTGCTAGGAAGAAGGGACAAATCGATCGAATCGCCATGATTAAATTCTAGTACAATATTACACCTGCAAATTGATTGGCTCCAGCAGCTTCAGGGACTCTGGGAGCACAAGTGGTACTATTACAGGAGTATCCATCTACCATAATTGAGCAAATTCATTACCAGAAAAAATATTAGTGGTGTTTTTATCTTTAGCTAAGTCCTTTAATATTTGAACAATCATCCTGGCCTATGTCATGACAGGAAGAAAAACAAACGAATAACAGATCTGCTTGTTTCGATCATTTTGTGATTTTGGTTTTGTGTATTTTGCTTTATACATTTTTACAATTTTCAATGCAAAATATTAATCAAAGCGCTTTCCAAGTAAGGTACTCCCTCCATTCCAAATAAGTATCATTATAGAGTTTGCGCACATTTTAAGAAACACTTAAATATGGTAACTAAATTATTAGAATGTCCTCAACTAACCCCATTAAAATAAATGTTCATCAATAATATTATTTCTTTTGAGGGTATGTTTGAAAATTTTTGACAAAAAATGCATTGAAATCCGAAAACGACACTTATTTTGAAATTTTTCCATTTTGTTAAAACGACACTTATTTTGGAATAGAGGGAGTATTATTGATGACGAATTTCAATATCATTTTATTAATTACTAATACAATTATACAACTGCAGACTTTGTTTACAACAAGCATAACATTAACATGCATTTGTTATTCAACTTGGAAGTTACCGGTTAATGATTTTGTTTTGTTATGTGTAGTTTTATACATTTGTAATACAACTTGCTAAATGCAGTTAGTTAATTTTAAAGATAGTTTTTGTTTTTTTTAGAATAAACATACACTAAAGACAAACAAGAACATAGTCTTTGTTCTTATATAGCCTCACCCTCCCAAATTTTCTAGGAAGACATTTTTTAAAAAAAATACTTAGGAAGCACAATGTGCTTAGTAATTACAAAAGAGTTCCATACTTTAACATTTCAACCCTATCCTACCCATAAAACTCTGCATAAAAGATCAACTACTTTTTTCAATCGAGTAGAGCCTAATTGCCTAAAATAAGCAACTATCTCCTAAATTTTAACTTTGATTTTAAATGAAATTATTTAGACTGATCAGGAGGTTTGCTTAAATTTGATAAATAATTTGTTGAGCTGAGAGAGAGCCCTGGATGAGGTATATTGACCACTGTGTGAATGCCTTTCATAGTATGGTCAATTTCTGTTGCAATTGACTCATTGCATTGGAGCGGATTTTCTTCTAGGAAGACATTTGACCTGTGATTCGCAGACAAATGTCATGCTGGGCTGGGAATTGATAATAAGCCCACTACTTTTGACCTCATCTTCCGATATGCAGGCCATTATACTTTGGATTAAACTACATAACTGTCCACAAAATGGATTTCTTGGAGAAGCCCACATTTCTTCTGGTAAAAATAAAACTTTCCTCTACTATCGAAGGAGTTAGCCCATGAAAGTTTGTGACTAAATCTTAACTATGTCTTAATCTTTAAATGGATATCCATAGTACTTAATTAAAGTAGCAAACAAAAAAGACATGTGTTAGCACCACAATGAAAATTTTCCCGCAAAAAACTATTTTCAGTATAAAATCATTTTTGACACGTGGCACTCTAACTAATCATAAAAAAAAGATGGAATAGATAAATACATAAATCCCTTAATTATAGCTACATAAAAATCTCTTAATTATAGGTATATACTAATACATTATAACAACAATATTTAGTTGATAAAATCAAATGTAAGGAAATCTAAGGAAATCCCCCTAAGTCAAGTAAACACCAGTAATGTCTTCCCAATCCCCAATTTCAAAGGATCTCTTCCACTCCGCTCCTCTCTCACATCCGGGCCTTTAAATCAATTACTTAAAATCTAACATCAATTATTAATCCATCTCTTTCTACGACCGAGAAAAAATAAGCTGTCATGAAAGAAATTTGATTTTTTAAGAATGATTTTTTTTTTATTCTTCTGTTGTAGATATTGGTTTATGATTTATGTAAACCTGGACATAAGTTAACTGTTGTAAATTAAATGTTGTAAATTTGGGCATAAATTTATGTGTAATAACTCACTTATTATCATTTCAATCGATTTTTTATTTTTCTATTTTTCTTTTATTCTTTTAAGAATGATTCGTATTTTTTATTTAATCGATTTAAAAATACAGGCGGCACCCCGGGCATTCACCCGGGGCAAGCATCTAGTACATCTATTAAGATAAAATACAAGTATGAACGGTTATATTTTATTCCCTGTTAAAATTCCCTACACAAAATCATTATTCTTATATATATAACTCAATCTGTCTCAAAAAATAGTTTATATTGAATTTTCAAATTTGTACTATTTTTTTTTAACAAAGATAGTATATTATTTGTGAATCGGATGTAACAAACAACATCGACAAAGTTAAGTAGCTGAATGAGTATCAAAACACTTTTTCCCTTTTGCATAAATGTTTAGCTACTATCCACTATTGAAATTATGTAGGAAAAAAAAAAGAAACGAATACTATATACTCGTATTTAATAACATTTGGTTTTCTAATATTTAGAAGCGTAATGAGACACGATCGCACCATGTTCATATCGCAGCTCAATTGATATGAACTTTGAATAAGCGCAGTTAGGGTTTCTTTTTTCCATCATTTGGAAAATAAATGCACATGAAAATCAGAACCCCAAAGCCATCAGTTTGAAAGCTGTTGAACGATGATTTCCATGGTACGAACCAATAATGTTTTGGAAGAGAAGGAGTGGAAATATGGGATGTGTACATATGAATAATGGTCATAATTCACCTCGCACGTTATTTTGTCCCATTTGACCATAAAATCTGTGTAAGAGACTGATAACAATACCTTCCTCTGCCCAATCCAATATGTTTGGTTTTATAAGTAGTTAGTTGAATTGAATGGGGGATC